AAAGCAATACAAGGGAAAGACATTAACAAACAATTCACCAAAGAAGAAACACAAATGGGCAAAGTAATGAACATGTGTTCAACTCACTGAACTGACTCATAGAGAGCCCATCCATCAAATCAGCAGAGTGTAGGACTCCCTCTGTCCCAAGTGTCCAGAAGAGGCAAGTCCACAGAGACAGAGGGCAGATTTGCAGATGCCAGGGGCTGAAGGGGGAGGGGGATGGGGAAAGAACGGTAATAGGACGGGGCTGCTTCTGGAGACCTTGAAAATATTCCAGAATTAGAAAAAAGTTATGGCAGCACAGCACTCACCAAAAACCACGGAAACGGTTAAAAAGGTGAGTTTATCTAAAGGAGAAAAAAAAAAAAAGAAGAAGAAATAGCAACAGGCAATGTGGCTAATCTCTGGAGAAGGTGTTCCTGCGCTGATGGAAGGGAGTCGGCCTGATCCTTTGGGAAAGCAATGTAGTGGCTCATCCCCTTCCATGTTTCTACTTCCAAGAATTGATCCAATGGAAATAAATTATGAGCAATGGAAACACAGACTAATGTACAAAGAGATTCGATTTGCTTAAAACGGAAGAAGAAAGTTCTGGGGAGATTTACCTGCCCAACAATGAGGGAAAGGGTAAATAAGTTATGGAGTACTACGCAGACACTGAAACAGTGATTCATAAGAATTTGTGGTACGGTGGGAAATGCAGATGACATAGTGTTAAGACGAGATTCAGGAGTGCACAGAGCAGAACCCTGATCATGAAAGATCACATGCGTTTGCACACGCACCAATGGTGTTCTTGGACCAGCTACTGACCCTCTTGTGACTCAGTTTCCTCGTTTATAAATGAAGGATAACCCTAGCCCTACGTCATATGGTTGTTGGGAGGATGAGGCCCTGTGTGAAGATTTCTGCCGTGGCGGACACGGATGACGGGCTCAGKACCTGCTCACTTGTCTCTGACTGGTAAAACCACAGGTAATTTGCATTTTCCTCATTTCAGCTTTTCTTCATTTGCTAGATTTTCAACAAGAAGGAGGTGTGAGTTTTAGAAATACAGGGCCACATCTGTCAGGGCCACATCCTAAGGACACACGGGACAGTCCTGCTGTGTAACAGCCATCCCATCCCCTTGGAGAGGCAGCTCCCTCTGGGACGGTGTAGAGACCTACTCTTTCTGTCCAGAATCAACACGGCAGGGGCAAAATCAGCGCTGACGAGTGTAGACAGAGGCAGGATTGAGAGAAGCTTTGTAGCGCTTCTCCTCTGGGGGCTTGCTTTTTAAGCAATAATAACCCCAAATGAACTAACAAAAATCCCCAAGGTTTCTACGTCCAGCTCTTTCCAAACGCCTTGCCTTGTTTACTCCATTACCACAAACTGTGGCTGAGGACACATGGGACTGTGGGAGGAAGAATCAGTGGCCTCCAGAAGGTTCTCTTAGCCATCTCTGGGGGTGAGCCAACTTGTTGATGGCTCCCATATAACCAAGAGATGCCATCTAAGCAAACTGGAGTCCCAGACTCTTCTTTCTTTAACAGAAATGCTTGCTGGTCTCCTGGACTTTAAAATCTATGCCTAAACCGGTCGCAGTGGTGCACACCTGTAACCCCTGTGGCTCAGGAGGCTGAAGCAGGAGGATCGCGAATTCAAAGCCAGCCTCAGTAACTTAGGGAGGCCCGAAGCAACTTAGTGAGACCCTGTCTCTAAATAAAATACAAAAAAGGGCTGGGGATGTGGCTCAGTGAGTAAGTGCCTCTGGGTTCAATC